GAAATAGTTAATGTATCTGTAAAAAGTCTTAATTTTATTGCAGAGGCAAATAGGTCTATTGGTTTCTGCTGCAGGCATTGTCATATTTCAGCTTCCAATTTTTATTTTTCCCACAAGTCGAAAGGAATTTTGAATGGAGTCACAGCAATTCTGTGACGCAAACTCAAGTGTTTATAAAAGACCTATTCCCCCCAGTGTTGTTATGGTTATAAATTATGTTATTTCGAGTTTAGCGCTGCCACCTGCTGGTACATGAGCACACATATTTCTAAAAATAGAATTGTGTTCTATTGTAGAATGCAGAAATCAATTTGGGATAAGAAGGTTGATAGAAACATGACAAAAATACTGTCTGGGTTATTTACTCAAGTAAGAATTTAAATTTTATTTCACAGCTAAGCTTAGAGTAGCCGAACTGAAAGCACAGCTGAAATAGATTTTTTTTTTAAAAGATATTTTGACCTTAAATTGGCAATTCACTTAATAATGGATTCTGGATAAATCCTCTGACTCTGTCATTTTTCCAACTAATGACTTGAATTTTAAAAGAATTACAACGTTTTGCCCAAATTAGAATAAAATAACCAACTGAGCTATTTTTGCAGGTTGACGGTTTTGTTATGAAATGTGTCATCCCTCCCTCAGAATGTCCGGTTTAATGGCGTGATTCCACCCACTTGACACAGGAGAGCTCGTCTAAATGTGGCGACAAGTAGGGAGTTATTTACTAAACCTCGACATTGTGAGTTTTAGCTCAATATATAGAGGAACATTCTCCAGTTTGATTTTTTTGGGGCCTCAGACTTTCAATTCTCTTTTTTATTCTTCTCAAATTCCTGGTTTGACAGTTAACCCTGTCAGTATTGCGGCATTACTTTATTCACTTACGCCGCTGATAACACATAACTTCTGCTTAGATTTAGACCCAGACCTGACAGGGTTAAAGAATGAAAGGCATGCTGGTTATCGCTTTTAACATTGCCTCAAGTATTGATAGAAGGACTTTTTCTTTTGCAAAAGGTTTAAGTTGTGAAAATGTACAAGGAACACATTATCCCACTGCGATTGAAGTCATGGCAACCTTTAATGAACTAAATACTGCTTTTTGTACAATTCCTTCTCAGTTTGTGCATACAGCAGGGAAAAGCATAAAGCTAAAGCCAGCCTGCTGACTGCACACATAGCCATAAAAATCGCTAACTCACTGTATTCAGCATTTCACGTCAAGTACTTAATATTTTCCATTCAGTGTGCTTGCTGTTGTTTTAAGAGAGAAAATAAAACTGTAATGAAATAATCGCCCCGTATATAACCCACATATTGTACTAGAAGTCAATATATGTGCACAAAATGCCTTGTGGATGACCGTACTTTGTAGATTACAATTTTGGTAATAAAATGGACGAGGGACAAGATTTCAATTGATTAAAACCAGTGTAATTCCTGCAACAGACAAAAAGTGCGGGTTTACGGGAACTACCTCGGTATCCAGTTGGTATAAAAACACCTGTGTTTAGTTTAAATATTGAGCCAGAAAAACTGCCCATCTTTCTGAGCCAAATAACATGTCATCTGCAAGATCAAACGTAAAGTGATGGAATTAATTAACTTTTATATAAAAACATTTTTATAAAATCATGCACTTTATACCAAACACATTGCACCATGCTTCTGATTAGTCCATCCTTGAGTTTCTGAGGATGTAGAGTAGGGTTTATATACTGCTCAAAAAATAAAGGGAACACAAAAATAACACATCCTAGATCTGAATTAATTAAATATTCTTCTGAAATACTTTGTTCTTTACATAGTTGAATGTGCTGACAACACAATCACACAAAAAGTAAAAAATGGAAATCAAATTTTTCAACCCATGGAGGTCTGGATTTGGAGTCACACTCAAAATTAAAGTGGAAAAACACACTACAGGCTGATCCAACTTTGATGTAATGTCCTTAAAACAAGCAAAATGAGGCTCCACGTGCCTGTATGACCTCCCTACAACGCCTGTGCATGCTCCTGATGAGGTGGTGGATGGTCTCCTGAGGGATCTCCTCTCAGACCTGGACTAAAGCATCTCCCAACTCCTGCACAGTCTGTGGTCCAACGTGACGTTGGTGGATGGAGCAAGACATGATGTCCCAGATGTGCTCAATTGGATTCAGGTCTGGGGAACGGGCGGGCCAGTCCATAGCATCAATGCCTTCGTCTTGCAGGAACTGCTGACACACTCCAGCCACATGAGGTCTAGCATTGTCTTGCATTAGGAGGAACCCAGGGCCAACCGCACCAGCATATGGTCTCACATGGTACCTAATGGCAGTCAGGCTACCTCTGGCGAGCACATGGAGGGCTGTGCGGCCCCCCAAAGAAATGCCACCCCACACCATTATTGACCCACTGCCAAACCGGTCATGCTGGAGGATGTTGCAGGCAGCAGAATGTTCTCCACGGCATCTCCAGACTCTGTCACTGCTTTCATCTGTGAAGAGCACAGGGCGCCAGTGGCGAATTTGCCAATCTTGTTGTTCTCTGTCAAATGCCAAACATCCTGCACGGTGTTGGGCTGTAAGAGTCTGCTGACCGTTTGAGCAGACACATGCACATTTGAGGCCTGCTGGAGGTCATTTTGCAGGGCTCTGGCAGTGCTCCTCCTGTTCCTCCTTGCACAAAGGCGGAGGTAGCAGTCCTGCTGCTGGGTTGTTGCCCTCCTCCACGTCTCCTGATGTACTGGCCTGTCTCCTAGTAGCGCCTACATGCTCTGAACACTACGCTGACAGACAGAGCAAACCTTCTTGCCACAGCTCACACTGATGTGCCATCCTGAATGAGCTGCACTACCTGAGCCACTTGTGTGGGTTGTAGACTCCGCCTCATGCTACCACTAGAGTATTAGAGCCAGGGAAGCAGTTAGACTGCAAGGGTAAGATTTATGCACCAAAAGCACTTTAGTTAAAGTCGTTTTGGTGCTTAGAGTCTCCCTTTAACATTCAGAAAACTAAATGTGACCATACACCTTACACCCCTGAGCTTGTACTGGTGCCATTAAGGAGTTTCTCAAAGCAATGTGAGAACTGACATTTAGCTACCAAATAAAAAACAAAGTATATACCAATATCTGGGAAATCTGTCTGGTAACAGCAATTTAAGGTGACTAACAGTGAATAGTGTCAAGAAACATGAAGTCACACCTTAGTATGTGATTGCAGTGTTAACAAGTCTATCTACACCCATTCCCTAGCATAGGAACTGAGAAGTGGTCTATGGTCACCACCTGCAGAACCACTCCTCTATTGGGGGTGTCTTGCCAATTGCCTATAATTTCCACTTGTTGTCTATCCCATTTGTACAACAGCATGTGAAATTGTCACTCAGTGTTGCTTCCTAAGCGGACAGTTTGATTTCACAGAAGTGTGAATGACTTGGAGTTACATTGTGTTGTTTAAGTGGTCCCTTTATTTTTTTTGAGCAGTGTATATCAGGTGGTTGTGCAGTGGGTTCGTGCAATAACTAATCAACTTTTGGGGTGGACATTTGAAACCTGACAAGGTTCATCTATTCTATGCGGTCTGTCATCCTTTGGATTTCTATATAAACTCTACTATTAATTTAGTTAATTACATCAAGACTTCAGGATGAGCTTGGAAACTACAGGCAAATGGACACCTTTTGGTTTAATAACCACAAGTTGTGGAAATGCAATAAACTTAAGTCTCACACCCGGTGCAAAGTTTCCCTTCTTTCAAAAAGTCACCTACAAAACTAAATATGTAATTTCACAATAATGCTAGAATGTCACAAGAGATTGGAAAAGCCTACATACTGTCCGACTAGAAAATACATTGTACATATCTATAGAAAAGATGGGTGATAGTTTTTAAAATCCCTGAATATTTGGATATAAGGGGCTAGATGCAGCTCTTGTTGATTTAGAAATGCACTACAACATGAAAGCACTAACTCCGTCACTTCCCCAACCCTGTCTGTTACCCTTCATTGCTTTTAGTGTCAGCTAGTTATTAGGCTCTATGGTAACCCCATTCAACAACTCATAATGCTGTGCTTTCACCTTTCAATGTAATATTTGGTTTTTCGACATTTGTATTGTTTTACTATATTCTAGGTTTGTTTCACAGTTGCTGTTTTTGTTCTTTATGGGAGTATGAAGGATATCCTCTGGGGACTAAAACTGCATCCAACCCTTCAAAGATATTTTATTGAGACGGAACCATCTATTGGACCTTTTTAATTCTGTTTTTATGTGGACTCATTTATTAATTTTACATTCCAAAGGTTTAACGTAACGCTGCTGGATACCCACCAGAGATGGATGTTTAGTAGATCTGTCCTTTTAGGGAAGCATTGTAACAGTGCTCTTCACAATATAATTTTAATAGGAAAAAATATCCCAACTTTTGAGCTCTAAATGTTCCTGTAATGGCAGCTTTCTCAAGGTTGAGTCCTTTTACTTAGTGAAGCCTGGACATAGCTGTGATTTCTTAGTACTGTGGAACACGCTGACACTATATAAATACCAATAACAATATGTGTATGACAAAGGGTTTGCTGACTAAAGGAATTACAGCTCAGGTTTTGGGATAGGATAGTTGAAATAGTTTTTTTTTTTTCTGTTGGACCATGTTTGGTCTCTTACGTTGTCCATTATGTCCAAAATTATATAACAAGTTTTAAAAGGGCACTTGATAAAAGGATGGGAGAAACCAAGAAGCAACACATTAGTGAGGTAGGATTCCAACAAAGTCTACTATACACAGCTAAGCCTTTAGCTTGAAAATCAACATGGGAAATGTACTTCAAAAATTCAATGGAGTGTTTCTTTAAACAATTTAGTAAATTAATCTCCAATGAAAACATGCATGCATTTATTCATCTTTAACTAAAACCAGCTTGCTAAAGCTGCAGGTCTCTTCTTTGCAGCCTTTGCAAGCCATCACATTTTATACTCTAAATCAGAGACTACTCATTGAGAAGCCTTTCTGCTGGTTTCCAATGCTCTCAATGAACAGTAATACAGCTCATTAACTGTGACTCAATCATCTTCTATTGGAAAAAAATAATAGCATTTTCTATTAGCTCTTACAGCACAGTGTGTTTACTTAAGATCTTTAAAAATCACACATAGAAAGCTTTGGCAGATTCAAGCAGGAGACAATATATAATGGAAACAAGAAGTTTAGACTTTTTCAATATGTATATAGGGAGGTTGTGTCAGTCTCAGCCAGGGAAGCAGTTAGACTGCAAGGGTACGATTTATGCACCAAAAGCACTTTAGTTAAAGTCGTTTTGGTGCTTAGAGTCTCCCTTTAACATTCAGAAAACTAAATGTGACCATACACCTTACACCCCTGAGCTTGTACTGGTGCCATTAAGGAGTTTATCAAAGCAATGTGAGAACTGACATTTAGCTACCAAATGAAAAAACTAAGTATATACCAATATCTGGGAAATCTGTCTGGTAACAGCAATTTCAGGTGACTAACAGTGAATAGTCTCAAGAAACATGAAGTCACACCTTAATATGTGATTGCAGTGTTAACAAGTCTATCTACACCCATTCCCTTTCTTCCAGGTCACAGCATTCTGCATACAATACTATGTAGGGCAAACGTAGTAAATAAACAGTGATTACCAAGCTTCCAATGGATGTTTCTATACTGTACAGTCAATTTTCATACGTACCAATATCTACAACACGAAAGTTAGGTTTAATGCAATAATAAACAAAACTACACTATTGACTACCACATTGAAGAGTTACAAAAATATAAATTTAATATCAATTTCTCCTGGAAGCCAATTATAGTATACTTTAAAATACCCTTTTTGTTTTGCTCTTTCAAGAATGAAAATTGGGTAGAAAACATGTTTTTTTTATTGACTTGGTGCTGAAAATCATAGATTCCCTGTTTATTTTGGTGCACGTCCTTCCAAGATGAGCTAAATGTTGGTTGGTCCTCAGAACATATGTTGCAGGCTACCATTAACAAGATGGCATTTATTTGGTCCATTAAGGAGGTACAGTGTGGTAGCTGTATTTGAGGTTTACAAAACACCAAATATAAATAACCTGGAAACAATGCACAAAATATGCTCAGCGCAGACATAATCAGGCAGTATAAGCTGAAAAATAACAGAGAAATGAACTGTTTTACAATAACGTACACAGCGCCTGCAGATGTCTCGTTTGTTTGCTGACCAGGCCACAAAACTACTAGAAATGTTAGGATTAAAGGCCCCAGCATCCACAAAAAGGGTTCGTCATGGCACTTGTGTAAAATGATAACGGTTTCAGAGTTGGCTTAGGGTGTGAGAAACATTTAGCGCTAGCCGTATCCTATTCTAAAATAAAAAAAATGTAACAAAATAAGAGACATAAATATTGGAGTCAAAAAACAACCCCCCAAGAAAACCTTTGATATACCACAGTTCTTCTTGCTAAACCACAAAACACATTTAAACAAAACAAGGTAAGCGATGCAGCTGTATGTAATGCAGCATGAGGTTGTACGAAACATAAATAAATCTGGGCTTACTAAATTCACAGAAAATTTGGAAATAGGTCACTGGCATAGGTAGATTCAGTCCCTCAGGGCCTGGCATCTAGCTCTGGATATTTAACACACCCTAATAAAAGTCAAATGACGTAATAAAAAAAGTTCAGCCTGCTAAAGGAACACTTCTTAGTCAAGGGCAATTATATCATCGTCCGGTTCTTCTTGTGGCTCCAAGCGCTTCCTTTTGGCGCTGACAACCCCATCGTCGGATAGCTTCCGTTTTACGCTTGTGCTCTCCATGTTGACATCAGCATTACTGGAGGATGGGCTTTCTTCATCAGAGTCCAAAATTAACACGTCATCATGATCATGAGCTTTTTAAAAGAGGGAAATAATAAAGATGTAAAAAGGGTGTGCATCACTTAACTATAGGTTAGTAATTAGTGAAACAAAGGCACACAACAATGATGGAAATATACATTTAGACTTTGACAGCATAAAGGTAGAAAATAAACACACAAACAGACATTGTCGAAGCATTTTTCGACTTGCTTCTGAAACTCTACCAAGATTTTACCAAACATCAATAAAAATACTGCAATAAACCGCAACAACCCAAAAACCACTACATCTCATTGTCTTCCTGATTGATGCAACTGCTTGACAATTTTGCATAAAAATGAATCATTAAATATGATCAAAAAGAATAAAAAGATAAGCATAGATTGCAAAAATAAAAACCGTATTTTCTTTTAATGAATGCACGAGTAAATCCAGTTTGTTTTTTTCCTCTTAATAAAGTGAGAATTGTTGGGAATTCAAAGTAAATTTCAAATTTAAAGGGACACTCCAGGCACCCAGACCACTTCTGCCCATTGGAATGGTCTGGGTGCCAACTCCCACTACCCATAACCCTGCAAGTGTAATTGTTGCAGTTTTCATAAACTGAAATATTTACCTTGCAAGCTTAACTCCTTTGGGGGGGGGGTCTAATGCGCAGCATTGCCACGCATGTGCATTAGGTCTCCCCCGCCGGATGTTTTAACCCCTACAGCAACTTGGGATGCGGGGTGGGAGGGAGAGGGGACCTGCAGTGCCAGGAAAACGGTTTGTTTTCCTGGCACTGGAGAGTCCCTTTAAGTTCAAATTAGTCAAAATTGAATAATTCTCCCAGTCAGCTATTCTTCTGGTTTGGCTACTTTGACCATAAATATGAAATTCTTGTTTAGTTCCTGACCATTCACACTTTAGTAGATAACAGTTGTTGTCAAAGAAATGACAGGAAGCTGAGAGAAATGCTCTTCCCTACGTAAGATGCCGAAATGGAGACCTGATTGGTCTCAACACTCTGCTAGAGACAAGAAAGACTGGGCACACTGCCTAACAGGGTACGGAATAAGGCACGGCACAGTGTATGTTAACAGCTGTGCCAAGTAGAAGTGGGTGGACACATTGTGTGTTAAAGAGCTGAATGACAGTTTGTATAAAGAAGTGGCTTACAGATTACATTGGAGAACTGTGTAGAAAGTAGGGCAGGCATACGTGTGGAAATTGGAAACAATGTCACATTCAGTGTATAACAGGACAGGTATTGATAGATGTGGATACATTAATTTACTGTTAGAATGCAGTTATTGGCTGGATGAGGTAGGAAGGGAAACATACCTGTGGATGTGGAAGGCTGCGCCCCATCATCGCTTCCGTTGGTGATGCTTTTAGCACTTTCCTCTGTGGGTTTTAGGGGAGCTTTGTCAGGGGCATCTCCTACAACTTCAAACTCCACATCCTTCCCCAAGTCTTCACTACCAACAAAATAACACAAACACGTAAAGACCCTGCATGGATAGCTTTAAGGTTGGAGGAGTAATTAGCAAAAATAAACAAACGCATGCCTTGTATCACATCAACCACTTTCTACTTGCTGACAATTATTATACATGTAAAGATTAAGCACACTGCGATATCAAATAATAAAAACAACAACGCTAAGCCTATTATTTGCACTGTATCAGTATTCCAAAGAATATGTGAACACCCAGCCGCAATCCTGAACTTACCACGTACACTACTACCGCCATAATTCCTGCCTAGTCTTAGATACAGAGCATTATGGAAAAAGCTAAATAGTAATAAAAACCCTGAACATCAGATATTTTACTACAGTATGGATTGTGTATGGGGCTTATCTGACACACTGTACGCTAAGTTTATCTGTAGACTAGAATGCGAAGCAAAAAAAAAAAATGATCAAAGAGAAAACAGCATCACCAATGACTTATTGCACATCATGTACAAATTGGCTAAATGGTTCTATACTCTTGGATAACACTTTGCTAGACATAGCACTGGAAAGGTTATCTGCTGGGAAACAGGAGCCACACGCACCTATGTAAAACGTTGATCAGGAGAGTGTAGTCCTGAAGAAAATCATCAGCTTGCAGCCGGCTGCCATTCCGAATGCCAAATTCTGATATATATTTATTGTTGTTTGCTGGAATTGTTAAGACAAAACAATGAATACACATACAATTTTATGGTTTTTAAGCAATGTTTGGTAAATTAAAAAAAACAGCACTCTCACCATCAGTTTCCCCTTGCTCGGACGAGATTAGGATGGTTCCTTTGCCGTCTTCAATCTGAACGTCTGGTGCCACCATCCCAAACTTCTCTTTTACAATCTGAAGTCACAGAAATACATTTTAAAATATCTATGCAGACACAAATAAAGTCCCTAATAACAGGAAGGAAATACACACAAGTATTTTGTTAATTTTACACAGTTTTCAAAAGAAATTGACACTTTTATAAAATAAACTCATTCTCAATTTCATACAATCTGGACAGTGGGGATTGGCTGAGAGTGATTGGGGATGAATTAGCCCAGTGCTCTCAGCCAATTAATATCAACAAGGTTGGACAAAATAGAAATTGATAAGGCAGAAGAGTTAATCCGCATTATTAAAGGGACACTATAGTCACTAGAACAACAACTAGAGCTTACTGTGTTTGTTCTGGTGAGTAGAATTATTCCCTTCAGGCTTTTTGCAGAAAGCACTGTCTTTTCAGAGAAAATGCTGTGTTTACATTACAGCCTAGAGATACCTCCCCACTTGACACTTCTCATATGGCTACTAGAAGTGCTTTCTGGGGCAGTGTGGCAATGGAAACACTGAACTTTCCTCATAGAGATGCATTGATAAGATTTTACTATTTTTAGGCGGGCCAGAGGGGCTAGATGGTGGTGTTAACACTATAGAGTCAGAAATACATGTTTGTGTTCCTGACCCTATAGTGATCCTTTAACTCAGTAAATTAAACTGGTAAGCACACACACGGAAGGCTCTGCGTGCTCTTGCAGGCCACAAACAGAGCAGAAGATTAGAAATTCTAAATTCAACACACTGGGTAATAAATGAAGTTTAAACTTTAAATCTCTCTTTACAGAATGTGCTTAGGAAGGCTGAGTCAGTCACATGCAAGGGGGTGCTATATAAACTCCTATATGGAAGATAATTGAGCAGTGTGGCAGCAGGGGCATCATCTATACATTATAACCGTTTAATTTAGCTAAAGTTGTTTTGGTGCCTATAGTATTCCTTTAATGTGGCAAAGATGGTGGTGGACCCTCTGTGCCAGGAGGAGCCTCAATTTATATGAACCCATTCCTAAACGATTTGACAGAAAGGGGAGGGCTTGCAAAGGTTTTATACAAGATCTGTAGCTTTTGAAAGCCGTTTTAGATAAGCCTGCAATGAAAAAATGCATTTTAAATGCATGGATGCTTTCAAGTGTTCATTTTGGCGGTAAATTTCAATTTAGTTTTCGTCATAGTCTTTTGACTAAAAAGCCGTTTTAGTCGTATATTAGTCATCTGAATTGTTTCAGTCTAGTTTTAAAATCGACTAAATCTCAAAAATTGTTAGTTGACAAAATTAACACTGTTTCATTGGGGGTATATTAGTCAACATGACTAAAATTAAATGGGTTTAGTTAAGGCCTCTTTTGCACCTTCCACAGCCCCTCTGTGCAGTGTTTATTTTTTCGCCAAATATTAATTTAGTTTTAGTCGCCGAATTTCAATTTAGTTTTAGTCGTATTTTAGTCATCTTAAAGTCTAGTTTTATTTATTTATTATTCTTTGCACCTGGGCAGTGGAGTGTCCCGTCACCATCAGCCTGCAGTATCACTTCCTGCATGTGCGTTTAAACACTGGTAAGTCTAAAGAGTACATAAGTGTATTTTCAATATGGAAATCACACAAAGTTACAATGCACAGGTGCACGCGTGCTACGTACAATTCTTCTACCATAACGCAAGCTTACCCTATCCTGTAATGTCTGCACAGTCACTTTATGAACGTTTAACTTCACAGTCACTTCTGGTCTGCTGGCGCACACGTAACAACTGGAGTTTGGTGGATCAAGTGAACAAGGGACGAGAAGTTTCTTCCGTGGGTTTGGTTGTTTGTTCAAGAAAACCTGTCAGATGTAAAATAGTGAAATTAATTTTGTTAAAACAGAGCAATGTGAAGAAAATTAGTTAGTGGGTAATACAAATAAGCAACTTACAGTTCTACATTGCTCGATGTTACCAGATAAAATCTTCAAACCTTCCAATACAATCAGACCTGCTATCACAGCATTGGTGGTGGCAATTGCAGGGATGATGTTTCCTGCCATTGCTGTGGGAAAAAACATTTTAAAATTAAGGACATAAGATATTTTTAGATCACTTTACATGGGCCCACAAATCACAACAATGCAAAGGAAATAACCGTACATTTTATATCAAATCTGCTTTTCATGTTCATACTGAAGATATGCATTCGGAGGTTAGCAGCGGATGTGACAAAATCCATGGCTGGGGCATCGTCCTACAAACAGACATTTTACACAAAATTAAAGCGAGGAAAGTATCTGGTTACAAAAATGGTTACATGTTTTATTACAACGGCTCTACAGGAATACCCACGATGAGGGTTAAATGGTACTGCATATCAAAGTCTGCTTAAAAATATAAAATCTTTGTTTCCATAACCTAAATGTGAATAAATTGTGTGTGTAGAAGCTTCACTTTCAATGAGAAAATATCCCATAAAATCATTTCAAAAGGATTCCAAAAACTATTTGTCCCATATGAGCGGTCCATAATTTTGCTTTTAAAGGTCACATCTATACAAAGACTGACAGATTCAATATCCAAACAACATAGCCCTGGAATGGTCTGCTAGACTGCGACAGGAAAAATGAGAAGCACACTTCTATAATATTCTTTTTGGAAAATCCACAGAATAAATAAAGTTTCCCGGCTAGTAAACTGTGTGGGTACTTTGTAAGTGATGCCTGGGCTCAAACAAAAACAGTACATGTTCTGTACTGAAGTGAAGCTTTCTAATAATCTTCCACAATTTGGTTTTTGCAACATTATCCTAGCAAGTATTAATCACCCAGCCTTGGTTCGCCTTACCTTATCCCACACAAGGGACGCATTGTCCCCCTTTTGAGAGATTTGTTCTTTTAAGGTTTGAATACTTTGAGAAAACAACTGAGCGTAGCTGCACACATCTAGAACTTGCTGATCCTTCAGTCCGAGTGGAGTCGTTTCATTGTGCTCTTCTGACGAATTGTTTTCTGCAAGAACAAAAGGCGATAAAAACCTCACTGTGATGGCTAAACCACATCTCAAACAAAATATAAGTGACAGGAAAAAAAAAAAACAACCCACAATTATTTACATAACATTTGTTTGCACTAATTGGAAATATTGCCAATCTACCTTTATCCTGTAATGAGGCCCAGTCCAATGGCACAGGAGGCTTCCTTTTCTTCCAAAGTTTGTCCATTGTCAGTAGATATCGGATGTCGTCTTTAAAGAGCTGCAAAATGAACAACACAGGAACAGGTTCTTCATTAAGTTTCAACTCACGAAGGACCATTGACTGCAAGTATCCTGCTATGGAATGTCCAGGTCATGTAGGAACATTGGGGCTCTACAGAATAGATGATGCAAAATAAGGGTAACACATGCTGAAAGAAAGCTGAAAGCTAGGGAGGTACCAAAGTATTTTTTGCGCTTTAAAAACACAAGACAGACCTGCATTCCAGGGTTATGACAGAACTCAGAAATACACACAATCCCATAAGATTTTTTACATAGCACTATAAATTGTATAATACCAGAAGGCAATTCATACTGCTTTAAAATCTCACTTCTATGGGTGTTATACAATGTATACATTCATGATGAGGAATGCCACTAGGGACACAGTGCACGAAGGGTGCTTAAATCTTTAAAAATAATAATTAGGTCTATTATTTCTGCTTGTTAGAAGGCTAAACCGAATGTCCTTAAATTTACAAATAAACACAAGTGCACAGTTTTCACAATAGATTATTCTCTCTTATTACCTTGTGGAACAATTTTACAGGGTCGTAGCCAGTTGATCTTGCCCATTGTTTGGTTGAAACCCTCTTTATATCACCATCAACATTTGATGCGTTGGCTCTTGCAGCGGCATCTGTTGGGTCCCCTGTATAGAACACATAAGGAGCAGGATGAAGAGGTTTCACTAGTACAGTTAAGTAAATAAGAAGAGGGGAGTAAGAAAAACAGAGAATAACAACTCACAGGCTGCTTCCGGGTCAGCGGTATCAGGGGACACTTCCTGATCTGCATCTTCTTCCCCAAATAACTGGCTAAAGTTAAAATAAGCATAAGACATTGTTACCTGTGTCTGTGAATATAATCTGCATTCCACACCAACAGGGAGCACAATATTGTAAAATGTATTGGGTAATAGTAGTGAAGGAAGAGTCATCACAAACCTTGACAGATTTTAACTGGCCCAGCAGAAAGTATTACCAGATTTACCATAAAATTTAAAGAACTGTCACTTTACAGGATTTTTAATATTAGGTTTATCCCCATTGTTATCAAATATGTATTTGTCAGGTGTAAAAAATAAAAGCAGATATAGAAGTTCACACCTCTTTATTATGAAACTGGATGCCTCCATCTTAGCTCCCTGTCAAGCATTGTTGTAAACTTTCCTTTGCACCCGGCAGTCAGCATAAAGAGAAGAGGGCAGTTGGAACAATGTATTTCACCTCTTCATTTGAAATGTTTAGCCTGCCTTATTTATTTGGAATATACTGTAAATTGCTAAATCTTTAAATTTAAAAGATAACATAGCATCTCACAAGATATAGGTAATTTAGATTGTTTTATTCAATGGTGTAAATGCCAGAAAAGTGACAGTTCCTCTTTAATCGTGCACTTTCAATATATCAACATAAATGCTATGAAGCAGAGTGTGCACAGAAGGCCTGGTAAATGAGAATCTTACTTGAACAGATATTTGGCCCATACAATACAGTGAATAGGCTCAGATGGTGTGTTTCGAATGGTGCATCCTGGGAATGTCTTCTGGGTGGGTTTAGGCTGGCACTCGTAGCACTCCGTGACTCCCTGGAGGTTCATAAAACAAGAGAAAAATATACATATATATTTGAAATCTTACCCGAAGAAACTGTAAGAATGAAAAAAATTTGGAAATATTCTGATATTTTTTCCCCCGGACAGTTAAATCTCCAATTCAGGACAAACCAAAACAAATTAAAATCTGCATAAAATGTGATGCTACAGGAGAAATGTACAAACTATGCAAAGCTAATCACAATGCTTCTGGTCTGATTATTCTCTCCTGTCTTTTGTAATAACATTCCTACACCAGGGCTGATGCTATTAAAGACTAAAAAAATTTTTGTTTAAAAGTTACCCTCCCAGCACATAACATTTATATACAATGAATAACAAACTGTGAAACTGACCACCACCCACCCTGTTCAGATGCCAAAGATATTGAGTAATTAAAAGGTTTACCAACCTTCTTAATTACAGTGACCTGGCCGAGGTAGCCAGCAGTCCCACTCTCAATCAGGGGAATATCTGCAGCAAGACACATCCTGTTCACGTGGTTTCTGGCAGCTAAAAGGGTAACAATAGGTATCAGACAGAAGTAGAGTAACCCAATTCAAGATATAAAGTGTATCTATCACACTAACCTATAGAGGATAGACTGTGCTACCCTCTGTTCTAATGTGTATAGATAAAATATCAGTCTGTTATGATTAAGCAATAGAGGAGGAAGGATTTGACAAGGTCTTTGTGAAATATATATATATATATATATTTTTTTTAAATGCCAAAAGTGGAAAAATTCTCTATTTTTCCAGCTTGCCTCTTTTGGCAATTTTAAATGGCAGTAAGTTAAAAGATGATCAGGAACGTATTTGGAAATCATTACCTTGGTTGTCCAAGGCATTCATGACCAATGTGAACTGCCTGAAGAATTCCACGTCGTAATCAGGGCTGTAAAAAACAGAATTTGAGGTTTAACAACCACGCAAACTGCAGCTAAGTAGAAATAAAGAGTGAGAGCAAACAACCAAGAAAAGGTGATTTTCCTGAACTGAATTTGTTCCTGAAATATCATTAAGATTAAGTCCTGTCAACCTCCGTAAAACATATCATTAAGGAAATCTTCCAGTATTTGTTTTATCTGCTTTGTTATAACATTGATATTGATTTAAAAAAAAGGATATAAGTTCAATGTTCAGTAGAAATATATTAAATGCTACTGAAAGTGGTCTGGGTGCAGTGTCCCTTTTTCCTTAACCACAGAGTTTACATTGCAGTGTTTAGACTGTCTGTAGTAGCTGTCTACCATGCAGGCACTGGAGGTGCTTCCGGCTGTTTCATTTAGTTTAATTCTGTGAAACGACTGTGGATGTCCAGAGTCTTCTAAATCACCATAGAAAAGCTGAGTCAATGATGTCCTATCGGGAAGGCCTAATGCGTGCACCTCTTGCCATGCAAGCACACTGGGATTTCCCCAACAGCTGAGGTCAGAGGAGGAATAAATCTTCCAAAAGAGATACAGGCATCACAGTGGAAGTATAAAGTGAATACGTTATTCTTTATTAAAGCTACACATGGCCCTGGACAAAAACCATGATGCCATGGCCAAAATGGCCTTAGCCAAGTATGTATATCATCTGTTTATAAAGCCACATGTCATTCCTATTGGTTAACACTAAAACAACATAACTGATATATACAACTTTAGACATGGGCTATGAAAGCGTAATACACAAATATTTCTAAGGACTTATCAGCTAAATAAAATTGATTCTTAATGGCAAATGGTTTCAGCAGGGTTTATATCCAGTATAACATCGCATAAATCAGATCTCCTATAGCTTAAAGTAAAATATAGTTCATATGTACTCTCAGATTTCATAGAAACCTCAAAGAGAGAGTTACTATTTTCCAAATGTCTTTTCTCTTACAGAATTTTTCTTTTATGTTATCTAATATCTATTATAATGACAAAATAAAACAAAAGAGTGCAATATATTGCTGTTACCAAAGATTATCGTCTATATTTATATATTTGCATGTGCTGGAGGAGGAGCCGTACCGCGGCACTGGAATTAGACAACTGGAAAAACCCTGTCATAGTGGTGGCATGAGTGTGCTTAGGCAGAGGGACACTGTAGTGTTAGGAATACAGTTATGTGTTCCTTTAAAGCCGTGGCTCCATAGCATCAAAAATACAAAGCACAGAGAATGCACCGAGGCAGCCAACCAAGTAGAATATACATAATTACAAACTCAGGATAGAAATAGCGGTATTCCAAACATTGAAATGTAAAAATAAATGAAACCCTTCAGAAAATAAAAAGGCAACTTACCTCATGACACTGTCATGACATGCAGTAATGTTGGCTTCGGGGCAGAACTGCAGAGCACTTTCCTTTGCCACCTATAAAGAATACACAATTTATTACCCTTTACACGCAATAGCAGAGTTTATAATGCAATCACTTTCTGCAGCAGTAAAAAAACAAACTAAATATACAGCGGGCAATCATGAAATCATTACTTGCACATTTAAAACCGCTGTAAGCGATTGGAATCACTCATGTACAGTGCATTCCCAACAGGCAATATCACAGCAGGATATACATTATGTGAATGATGTAAATATCTCAGCGTGCAATGCGGAAATTGAGGTTTAGCTTCAATTGCCAGAGTGTGGAGAAACGCGTCAGAATATATTTCTAAATTAGCACCTTAAATTGTAAGTGACATTTCATTACTATGCCTTGGGGGTCTGCAATGTTCAGAACCTGACAGTAAAATTTTATGCTTTTAAGAACATTCAGTGGCAATTTAGGATTCTACTTTAGAAATCCAGCATCATTTTATTGTGCACAGACTCTATACACAGTGCTAGAAAGATTTCCAGCATACGTATAGTTAAAGATATAAGATACCTGAAATTGGCTGCTGCCTCCTGCAATACGGACACTGATGTACATGCACACACTACAACATAATTTTAGATTTTATGCGTAAGCAAACTGCTAAGGGATAAAAGACTTGCAATAAAAATTGCAATATTCAGGCTAAAAAGAGCCAACACAAGACTAGTGGATTTGGACAATGTTCCCCAATTACACATTTCTGTCTGGATTTGGTCAAATTGCAATTTGCTACAATCTTTGACTAACACCACACTGGTGAATAGCTTCTTTACCCTAAATTCTATAAATTGGTGCCAAGTGAATACACTACTAAGAAATACAGAACAAGAACATTAAAGGGAAACTCCCCCCTCCTCGTGATGCAGAAGGGATTAAAAAACAAACAAACAAACCTCTCCTGTCACTAACCTGACAAAAGACCTAAGGCCACACCCACATTAGGAATTTTCCCTTTATAGGAAAGCACAGTTTAATGTTTTCATATAGGGTTTTAGCTGAAGCTGGATGTCCACATGCATAGCATTCATTAACAGAGAGCAACCTGCCAATGAATGGCAGCAGGATTGTCATCCGGTTACTGCAGCAATGACACATAACCATGTCTGTCTTGCCAATGAACACTGTGTGATTCCGCATTATGTATTGTGGATGAAAAAGAATACAGATGCACTCAGTGCATCAGCTCTATATGTCAATTTTACTATAAAAAAATAAATCATTCACACACCATAACCATTACAGCCTTCCATTCTTAAACGATTTAACAAACTGCTCCAGGAGGGCGCCAAGAAACGCCTGGTACCATAACCACGATATAGGGTTTTAGTGGTTAATATGCTAAATTTGCCTAGTACAACATGTAGATCAATGAAAGTGATTCTACCTGACGCACATTAGAGGGACATATTACTCTGCATCCATTGGGACGTCTATTGTTAAAGCCATAAATCAATTGCAGGTATATTGTTACTTTATCTCATACTTGGAGCACAGCGTGGATGTATATATGATGATGTCGCACATATATGAATTACCTCAGCTTTAGACCTCCCAACATGCTTCTTCTGAAACAAAAATTGCCTGTTCAGGTTGCTAACATCAATAGTGTCCAGGTCAATCTGGGAAAAAACAATATGTGAAAATGTCAAAATGAATGTGCAAGTGATTGATGCAAATGGGCTGAGATGAGCTTAATTCTACATTTCTTTAACAAGAGGCATATCGTGGTATGTTTTGGTATGAGGAGCGGGAGCTGATCAGGGGTGGGGAGATATAATATAAGAAAAGGAAGCTATTGGGGCCGGGAGATGTACAAATAGGAGGAGAAGGTAGCTATTGGGGTGGGGAGATGTAATAATATGAGCAGGGGGATGGGGAGACAAATATAAGGAAGGGGGTGTTGGGGGAGGTAAACATGTGGAAATGTAATAAGAGGAAGGGAGAGGTAGGAAGGGAGAGGTTTTAATACAATTAGGGGGATGGGGAGACAAATATAAGGAATAGGGCATGGGAGGAATGTAATAACATGTTGAGATGTAATAATAAGAGGATGGGGAGATTTCGAGGGAGGGGAGATGTTTTAATATGGGAAAGATAATAAGAAATGGAAGAGGAATAGATGTAATAGGAGGAAGGAGAGTTGTAATAACATGAGGAGGGGGGATGTAATATAATAATATGAGGGGAGGGATGTAATATAATAATATGAAAAGGGAGAGGGATGTAATATATATGCTTAAGGGAGAGAGGATGTAATATAATATATGAGGGAGAGGAGATGTAACATAATATATATGAGGAGAGGATGTAATATTATATGAGGAGGGATGTAATATTATATAGGGAGGATATAATATTATATGAGAGGGAATTGTCATATTATTATATGAGAAGAAGAGATGTAATATTATTATATGAGGGATGTAATATTATATAGGGAGGGATGTAATATTATATAGGGAGGATACTTAATATTATATAGAGGGAGAGGATGTAATATTATATGAGGGAGGGTCATATTATATGAGGAAGTCATATTATATGAGGAGGGGGATGTAATATTATATGAGGAGGGGGGGAAGTCATATTATATGAGGAGGGGGGATGTAATATATGGGGAGGGGGATGTAATATTATATGAGGGATGCAATATTATATGAGGGATGCAATATTATATGAGGAGGGGGGATGTAATATTATATGAGGGATGTCATATATGAGGAGGGGGGATGTAATATTATATGAGGGGAGGGGATGTAATGACATTATATATGAGGAGGGATGTAATATTATATGAGGGAGGGGGGAAGGAATCATATTATGTGAGGGAGGGATGTAATATTATATGGGGGGAGGGGATGTAATATTATATGAGGGGATGTAATAATATATGAGGAGGAGGGATGTATTATATATGGGAGGGATGTAATATTATATGAGGGATGTCATATTATATGAGGAGGGGGGATGTAATATATGGGGAGGGGGGATGTAATATTATATGAGGGATGTCATATTATATGAGGAGGGGGGATGTAATATTATATGAGGGATGTCATATTATATGAGAAGGGGAAGCTGGTGGCGGGTAAATTACATCTACTAATAGACTATGAATTGCCAGCTCCCCCCCTCCCCCGGTATCTCCCTGTCCCCCCCTCCCGGTATCTCCCCCTCTCTCCCCGTGTCCCCCTCCCCGGTATCTCTCCCTCCCCGGTCCCGGTATCTCCCTGTCTCCCTCCCCAGTCCCGGTATCTCCCTCCCTCTCTCCCCCAGTCCCGGTATTGCCCCCCTCCCTCCACTCCCTCTCTCCCCAGTCCCGGTATCTCCCTCCCTCTCTCCCCAGTCCCGGTATTGCCCCCCCTCCCTCCCTCTCCCAGTCAGTATCTCCCTGTCTCCCTCCCCAGTCCCGGTATCTCCTCCCTCTCTCCCCAGTCCCGGTGTGCCCCCCTCCCTCCCTCCCTCTCTCCCCCCCCCAGTCCCGGTATCTCCCTGTCTCCCCCCCGGTCCCGGTATCTCCCTGTCTCCCTCCCCCGGGGGGGTCGCACCAGGTAGAGGTTGGTGAATCCGGTGAGAACCAGGTTTTTCAGTAACTCGCAGCCGATGCCTCCGGCCCCCACAATGAGCAGCCGGCAGCTGGACACGGCCTCCGCCAGCTCGGTGCGCAGGGCTCCCCTGACCGCCATCTTCCCGGTACCGACACACAGCGCGCGGCTACTGCACAACGAGAAACCACCGCGGGATAGAGCGGCTCAAACTGAGAGTCCGCGGAACAGCGACACCGCGCGGCCGGAGACTGCACTGCACTGCACCCCCCCCCGGCTGTAACAAAGAAACCGCTACCTGGGATGGGAGACAGCGACACCGCGCGGCCGGAGACTGCACTGCACTGCCCCCCCGGCTGTAACAAAGAAACCGCTACCTGGGAGGGGAGACAGCGACACCGCGCGGCCGGAGACTGCACTGCATCGCCCCCCGGCTGTAACAAAGAAACCGCTACCTGGGATGGGAGACAGCGACACCGCGCGGCCGGAGACTGCACTGCACCCCCCCCGGCTGTAACAAAGAAACCGCTATCTGAGATGGGAGACAGCGACACCGCACGGCCGGAGACTGCACTGCACCGCCCCCGGCTGTAACAAAGAAACCGCTACCTGGGAGGGGAGACAGCGACACCGCACGGCCGGAGACTGCACTGCACCGCCCCCCGCTGCTGCAAATAAAGAAACCGCCTGAGAGGGGAGACAGCGACACCGCGCGGCCGGAGACTGCACTGCACCGCCCCCGGCTGTAACAAAGAAACCGCTACCTGAGATGGGAGACAGCGACACCGCGCGGCCGGCGACTGCACTGCACCGCCCCTGGCTGTAACAAAGAAACCGCTACCTGGGAGGGGAGACAGCGACACCGCGTGGCCGGAGACTGCACTGCACCCCCCGGCTGTAACAAAGAAACCGCTACTTGGGATGGGAGACAGCGACACCGCGCGGCCGGAGACTGCACTGCACCCCCCCCCGGCTGTAACAAAGAAACCGCTACCTGGGATGGGAGACAGCGACACCGTGCGGCCGGAGACTGCCCTGCACCAACCCTGGCTGTAACAAAGAAACCGCTACCTGGGAGGGGAGACAACGACACCGCGCGGCCGGAGACTGCACTGCACCCCCCCCCGGCTGTAACAAAGAAACCGCTACCTGGGAGGGGAGACAGCGACACCGCGCGGCCGGAGACTGCACTGCACCCCCCGGCTGTAACAAAGAAACCGCTACTTGGGATGGGAGACAGCGACACCGCGCGGCCGGAGACTGCACTGCACCCCCCCCCGGCTGTAACAAAGAAACCGCTACCTGGGATGGGAGACAGCGACACCGCGCGGCCGGAGACTGTACTGCACCGCCGCCCGGCTGTAACAAAGAAACTGCTACCTGGGAGGGGAGACAGTGACACGGAGCGGCCGGAGACTGCGTTGCACCGCCCCTGGCTGTAACAAAGAATCCGCTACCTGGGATGGGAGACAGCGACACCGAGCGGCCAGAGACTGCACTGCACCACCTGGCGGCCAGGCACACCGAGTGTAACAAAGAAACTATAACCTGGGTAGGGAGACAGCGACACGGAGCGGCCGGAGACTGTACTACACCCCCTGGCAGCTAGGCACACCGTGTGTAACAAAGAAACTATAACCTGGGTTTGGAGACAGCGACACGGCGTGGCCGGAGACTGTACTGCACCGCCTGGTGGCCAGGCACACCAAGTGTAACAAAGAAACCATAATCTGGGTGGGAAGACAGCGACACGGTGTGGCCGGAGATTGTACTGCACCGCCTGGCGGCCAGGCACACTGAGTATAACAAAGAAACCGCTACCTGGGAGGGGAAACAGCGGCATGGCACGGCCAGAGACTGTACTGCACCGCCTGGTGGCCAGGCACACTGAGAGTAACAAAGACACCGCTACATGGGAGGGGAGACAGCGACACCGCGCGGCCGGAAACTGTACTGCACCGCCTGGCTGTAACAAAGAAACCATAACCTGGGTGGGGAGACAGCGACACTCTAAACTCCTTGTTCAGTTCCCTTTCCTACCTTAATAAAGTCTCAAAGTCTAATTTTGGACCACGTTTCCCAGAAAAATATGTATAGCACATAGAGATAGTGTGTTTTCGACCAGGATCAGAGAGATACATCTTTTCTAAAGTAGACATGTCAATTTTGCCCTCTTCCAGGACCTGATCAGAAACATTTAAATGGTCACTAATGAAATTACTCATCTGGTGTATATATGTACAGCGGCCACAGAGGCGTCCAGACCAAATTTTGTTTGAAGCTGGTCAAAAAAAAAATTAAAAAAATTACACAACAACAAATCATTAATATATATGACAGAATGGGAAAGCCAATATTCCATGTGCAGATTAGTTAATGTAGGTTGCAACACCGACAAGGAGGTAGCTCTGGAACAGGTAGCAGACAGGTTAATCTTTTTATATAACAAATCTCCAGCCTTAATGGTGGCTGTGATGAAACGCCATCACTGAGTGCCTTGCCTACATATGTGCCCTGTAAAAGCATGTGAAAAGACTCGGTTCGTGTGATTTCCTTGGTTTATATTTGGGGTTCCTGTATGTTTAGGATGTATATTTATTAGTTTGTTTTGTGATCTGTAACTCTAGGGTCTCTTTTGGATATGGTATTGAATCTAGGGTCTCCTGTTTCTGGAAGGCTTGATCATTACCATATCAAAGGACTATCTTAGAGGCAAGCAACACATATGGCAGATTTGAGCTCAGACTTCCAGGACACTGCTATGTGACTTCCCACACCCTACAGAATACCTCTGCTTGTGTCCAAGCTTCAAAGACGAACTGGGGTTGTAAGCTAGGACATTCCGTGCTATCAATTAACCCCTTTTGAAATATTTAAATGTGTGTGTGGGGGTTTGGAAATTGTAGATCTGCTGTACCTGAGAGGGGACTAAATTCTAAAAAAAGATCATGGGAGGGATGACTCTGTAATGTTGCGTTGGAAACCCCTTGCATAGGGTTATGCATAAAAGCTGTGTGCACCAATAAAGATTGTCAGAGAGTTGTACCTCCAGAACTAGGTGTTGTTCAGTTACTGGGGCGGGGGGAAAGATGCAGCTGGGAAAGCCCTTGTAAGGACTGAGAGCTAGTTCCCCTATTGGTTCCCCTGTTCCAGCTAGGAAGTGGTCCCTGTAATGGAGGTAACTGGTTGGGTTGCCAGAGGGGTCCGTTACAGTGGCTTTGGTAGTTGGAAATATGTGCGCCACATGTGGATGTTGAGTAAGAGGCAGCCATATCACTTCTTTAAGAAGATGAGGTAAAATTTTCTCGAGCCATAGAGGAGGACCATGTTTCAAGTTGAACTTAAGGGCCATAGCCACATTAGTTGCAGAATAATAATGAGGTTTGGCAAACACATACCCCCACTGAGCTTTTGTAAAATAGCCAGTTTGACTGCTTGGTTTCTTATTCCATACAAATGTCAGAAGGGCAGAGTGAACCAAAATAGAAGGAATAGTTAAGGAGTTTGCTCTCAAAAAAATATACAATTTTGGGATGGAGAGTCATTTTCATTGAATGACTCCTACCTAAACAAGAAATATCCTGACTACACCTCCTCTCAATATCTTCCCAAAGATCTTAGCTAGATTATAAGTATGCATATATGACAGGTTCTTGCACAGATTGATGCCTAAATAAGAAATATAGGAAGCTCTCCAGTCAAATTGAAAAGTAGATTTTAAAATATCCAATTCTTGCCATGGAATAAAAAATTAGAGTGCTTGGGTTTTATTTGTATTCAATTTATAATATGAAATTACACTGAATTCTTGCAGGATTGACCTTAGAGGTGCAATTGAGGTCAAAGGATTTTTAAGAAATAACAGAATATCATCTCCAAAGCGACTTATGTTGTGTTCGCTGTCTCTGACAGCAATGTATTCTATGTGTAGACAATCCTTATTGCTTCAGCCAAGGGTTCCATTGCCAGCACAAATAAAAGTGGTGACAATGGACACCTCTGTCTTGTGCCATTACATAAGGTAAAACTATCAGACAGGAAGCCAGTTGCAGATACATGAGCAGTTGGATTCCAGAATGAAAGCATCTGGAATGTTAAACAGTGACATAACATCCCTCAAGAAACCCCAACGAATTCTGTGACACGCTTTCTCTCGCATCTAAAGATAGGAGTAAAGAAGGCGTGCAATCCAATTTAATTTGGTGAAGCAAACTGAGGGAAATTAATAGCTAATATTTTAGAGTAGATTTTAGTGTTATTATTATTGAATCCTATCCAGAAAAGAGTTAATTCTGTCCAAAGTAGGCTGCTGCACTGTAGGATAAAATGTCAAATTGTAATGATGTTTATAATAGGCAGCAAAGGTATTGCTTATCTTCACAGGATGAGTCACTTTTAAACCATCTTCATTCAATAAATGCTCGATTCAGGACTGAGACATTTTGTGTCGTAGCTTAGAAGACAATAAAGATGAAGCCTTATTTCCTTTTTCAATAACATATTTGTTTAATTCTCTTAAGGATGAGGATGTATGCTCAAACTGAATAGTATCAAGATTGCTTTTAACATCAGAAATCATTGCAGCAAGAGAGGAAGAAGGGCCAAATTTGTTTGCCACATTTAAATTATACAATTCTTTTTCCAGTTCTCTTGAGTTTTTGGATCTAATTTTCTTCAAATAGGAATCCCGTAAGAGAAAATGAACTCGTAAAACAGCTTTATGGGCATTCCACAATAAAGATATTGATATATTTGAAGTCAAATATTCCCTTAACCCCTTAAGGACCAAACTTCTGGAATAAAAGGGAATCATGACATGTCACACATGTCATGTGTCCTTAAGGGGTTAAATAATCAGTAAGCACTTTTTCAGCCAGTGACTTATTTTCCATATCTGTAACAAGATAGTCACTTAGCCACCATGACCTGGCTTTAACTGGAGAGATTCCTCTATTTGTAACGTTATAGGGGCAGATTCTAACCAGGTCACATCTAAAATATTGGACCTGACAATGTATGGAACATTCATCCGTCAAGAAACTGTCAATTCCAGAATCCTTATTTTCATGTTGATCTACCAACAATCAAATAATCCCTGTGAAAAAATAATTTGGAACAAGAATTAGCCAATTTTTCGCTATTATAATTTTTGATGATGTGATCACTCTCTCGAGCAATATCATGATCACAATCTAAAACAAAATTCATATCCACTCCAATGAC